TATATATACACACACGCACGCACGCGCACACACACACACACACATATATATATATATATAAATGTACATACACGCATGCGCGCGCGCGCGTGTACACACACATATATTTTTATACACCTATATATCGTACTTATATTTGTTTGGAAGAACGTGATGCCGGTTTTTTAAATTACATTTTACAACGAAACGTTACGTCGGCTTCAAAAAATTGTACGATACGCGTGGGTCCCTTACGATATAAAGAAAACAGATTTTTTTTTTTTAAACGCTTGCGTTAAACTCTCAAATCCGTCCCCTCATGCCTATTATAAAGATTTTGTATTTATTTTTTGTTTTTGAATATGAAATTTTCTTCGCGACTCGTTCCTACTTCAACTTTATTTTAAACAGTCGTGTTATAATGTAATTTCAATCTCGTCATTTATTATATTTTTCTGTTCTTATCTTGCTCTCCGAAAATGAAATTTGTGATCACACATAAAATGCCCGTCTCTTTTAAACTTTTACACATATAAAAGTAAAAGAGTTTCTAAATATACGCTTACGCGAGAAAAAGGCCTCTCTTTATCGAGCAACTTTTAATTACCCCTTTTAATTAATAACAATCCGTTTTATTTATTTGTATTATTATTAGTCCTTTTGTAAATTCATCGCATTATTATTTATACTTTTTTAATGTTTTTTGTTTAATCTTCTTTTAGAAAAGTTAAGCTTCATTTTTATTCTTTCATTGTCGTTAATGTTATCCCGGAAAAGTTTCAACATATTGAAGAATGACGAATTATTTGACATTGCTCGAATCAGGAAGAAAGAAAAGAATGAATGAGAAAGTAGAATAACGAAATACTTGGGCATGTATATTTATGTTTTTTTTTTTCTCTTTTACATACCAAAAGACAAAGAATTTCTAAGAAAAAGATTAGTAAAATTTACATAAATATTGCTATGAGTCAAATATATGGAATAAATAAGTATACAAGCAAGCAAGCAAGCAAGCGAGTACACAAGCAAAAATCTTTTTAATAAAGCTACTAGAGTCTCATTAATCTCTTTTCTTTCATAAATTTGAGCGAAACATTGTAGTTCAAAAAATTTCTGTGCTCGTTAATAATCAATCTGGAATTGGAAAATAGATTCTTTCCATTTTCACGCATATAGAAATAAATTAGCTTTTAATGACAAAAATAACAGCAATAACTCTTCTAAATGATGTACTTTACGTACGTGTAGAATATCATAGATTATCGCAAGTATTAATTCGACACCCTTGACATTTATTTATATTATTTATATGATGTATGCAACATTAGGTATTGGAAAGCAAATGTCTAATGTCAGATGTGTCACACTTGCAAATTGTCTAAAACCACTTCTATGAAAAATATATCTCGTGTCCTTTGATTTAAAAAGCGCGATTATGCAGATACGATTAACTAAGAAACTAAACGACTTGTACTATAGTTTCAACATTTCTAGCAAAAAATCTACTGTCGTACTTTTATATATCCTTACCTTGTCTGGATTTAAGTTTTCACATCTCAAGGCTGCTGACGATGACTTCTTTGACGTAGCTTTCCTGTCCATTTCCAATTTATAACAAATAATAAAACTTTTATAAAAATAAAAAAAAAAAATTAAAAAAAAAAAAAAATAATAATAAAATAAGTAAAAAAGTAATAAAAATAGTAATTTTGAAGACAATATGTAAAAAAAAAAGATGTAAATATCGCAAACACACAGACCAACACAATAAATATTACTTTGGCATTTAAATAATGTGACAAGAGGGATCGTGGAAGAGGGATCGGGGTGATTTTTTTAATAATAATAATAATAAAGTATGAGAGGTAATAAGTGACAGATACGAGGAAAATACACAAACATGTTAGCTACAAGTTTTTAAACTACTTTATTGGCAATTTCTCTAGGCATGTCGACTAAACTAAATTACGTTTTTTCGTATCGGTGTTAGTGAGTGATTGCTTTGACTTGACTTTGACTTGCTTGTGAGTGAGTCATATCTCCATCCATACATACACAGGAGGCTACATACATGCGCGCAACTCGACATTCGATTCTTCTACAAAATGATCTCCTGCCAGCCATATCCGTACTTATCATTGCCTTAAAAACTGCCATTTTTTTTTATCTCTCCATTGTTTTCTTTTTCTCTAGTTATCTACTAATTATTACTACTATTGATTATTGCTTTCGGAAGCTAGATTACGGAAGAGTCGAAAATATACAGAAAAATGCATGCACTTTATATTTATAAATATATACATACATACATATATACATACACACACACGCGCCCACGCACGCGCGCACGTACACGCACACGCGCGCGCACACACACGTACACAATCTGTATAAATAAATATATACATATATATATATATATATATATATATATATATATATATATATATATATACATCTATTTACAGAAGATGTATGTATGTGCATACGTATACGTCGACGGCTCTCGACACAAAGACTCGAGTCGTCATTGAACTTGTCAAATAAAAAGGGTAAAAACATCCCATTATTATTGTTATTTACGTCGAGTACCGTTCACACGCCACACACACGCATACGCGCGCGCGCGCGCGCGCGCACATACACACACACACGCACACATCGCACCTTGCGCGCATCATAATTCGCACGGGACGTCAGCTACGAGCACTGATATCGACCCTTCGTGTGTGTATATTATTAAAATTTCATTTCACCTTATTGGCTTTTTGCATTATTGTTATTATTATTACTTACTATTACTTACTATTATTATTATTATTATTATTATTATTATTATTATTATTATTATTATTATTAATATTTATTATTTATTATTTATTATTTATTTATTATTATTTGTATTTTTTCTCTTTCTCCCTTTCTCACACCCAAGTTTGTTTTTATTTCAATTCGCTTCTACCGACTCTACGCTAATGACGACGACGATGACGACGACGATGATAGTGATGAGCATAATGACCATGATGATAATAATAGTGATGATGCTGGTGGTCGAGCTATAATAACGTGGTATGATGACATTTATGAATGATAATGGTAAAAAATGAATTTTTTTCAACGACTATTACAACAATAACAGTAGCAATAGCAGTAGTAGTTAGCGAGAACAGTATTAAATGGCATTAATTACAAAATAGTGAGGAACGCCGATTAAATTAGAGCTTCTGCTAACCCATTATTACTTTGTTTTTATATTCTTATTTATTTTTCACTTTTGCTTTATCATCAGTGGCTTCGCTTAAGTTGCTTTTTAATCGGTTTCGTCTTTACCACTATGATCCCTGATAATTTCAATTTTATAAATATGTACGTACGATCTAATATTCATTGAATATTGCATTTTTAAAATCTCATGTGTAAGAAAGGTGAGAGTTCAGAGAAAGTAATCGTAATCGTAAATAATGAGTATTGACAATCGTAACAACAATAGTAATAAAAGGCGTAAAGAAAAAAAAGTCTAATTATTAATGACTATGATAGTGATAGTGATGTTAAGGTAATAATGAGTATACAGTTTATTTAATAACCGACATGCTTCTCGCAACTAAGATCCGAAGATCCTACTAATACTAGAATGGTTAGATTTCAAACTACACAATGCTATTGGAACATAGACAAACAAAGGAGAAAACAATTAAATATTAATTAGTGAGCTTTTAAGTGTAAAAAAAAAAGATAAAATTACGAAATTGACGAATTATCAAATACTTGTTACAAAATTGTGTAAGATCAAGAAAAGGTTGTAATATAATGGTAAAAGTGGTTTCGGACGCTCGAAAGTGTGACGGTATTACTGCAATGAACTAAAAGTAAACATAATACGTATTGTTAAAAGTCGACCTGTCTAAATATGTGTTATTACTATTCCACTATATTTAATTGATAACAATATAGTTTTATTTATTAACGCGTACTCGAAATACTTTTATTCGATTATCGCAGTCGCAAAGTATTTATTTTCAAATGAACATCGCGGGAGCAGGAAAGCAAGGGAAGGGATAAAAAACATTGTTTTAAGTTAAGTCTCGCTATCGCGCAATGGAATTCTTACAATTTCCATAAAATATTTTTTTTTTTTTTTTTTTTTTTTTTTTTTTTTTTTTTTTTTGACGTTTAAGTTGAGAGAGGGAGAAAGGGTAGAATTAAGTAACCATGCGCTTATAATGATATAATATCACGTACTGCGTTAATTTTGCTTTTTTTCTCAAATTGTGTTCAACTTATTTTTCAGTTATCGAGAGTAATGACGTTATTAAACGCCTCGAATTTTTATAATTATAATGCATGAAAGTACACGGAATCGCGAGTACCTATGTCGATACTTATGTCGTGCTTCAACATCATTTTCTCCCTCTCTCACTGGTTGCGAGCTAAGTAGTAGAGAACGAAAGGTCATAATATAGAACGATGCGGGGTTTTGGTTGAGTCGGTGGGGAAGGGGAAAGGGGAGGGGAGGAATGGAGATCAATGACTCTACTCCCCGAACTAATAGTAGGTAAATCAGCGACGAAATATTTAATAATACTACTAATAATACTTATAAATAACCATGATAATTAATTATTAATTAATAATAATATCAGTACTAATATCAGTAGTAATAAATAAATGGATGGAGAAAGATAAAGATTGTTGTGGGAGATGGGAGGCGGGAAGCGGGAGCTGCGAGGAGAGACAGAGAGCTAGAGAGAGAGAGAGAGAGAGAGAGA